ACGATGTGGGGCGAGGTGGGTATGATGTGAGGCTCGGTGGGTACGATGTGGGGCGAGGTGGGTTGAGGTAGACATGATGTAGGCTGATGTGCTCACGATGTGGGGCGAGGTGGGTACGATGTGGGGCGAGGTGGGTACGATGTGGGATGAGGTGGGTACGATGTGGATTGATACAGGTATGAAGTGGGCAAAGGTGAACAAACAAAAACAATTAATAACTTAGAATAGTTTTTCATTTAAAAAGCTGCAAGTTCCAACAATTTCTAAACTAGCCTCAAACACTCAGAACTGAAATGAAAACATTTTGAAAATTACACATTTTTAATATCTAACAATTTTCACTCAGGTCATCTGGACGGTTTCTTTTCGTTCGGAGGAGAGGGGGCGTCCCAGAGACCATTTTAGCACCAACATAACTGTTTTGTTATTGTTGCTGTTGTTGTTTTTATCCACTTTGGAGTAAGCTGTTGGGGGAGGGGCAGTTTTGTGTTGTGTGTTTCTTTGACTGATGAAGCCTTCTGGATGGAAGGTGAAATGTTTCAGCACAAAAAAAACAAAACAAGAGAAAGTGTCCAGATGACCTGACTGAAAACTGTTGGATCGTATACCTGGATTATTGAGCATGGACTTTGTTGGTTTCAACCAGATTTTTAATACATTTAATTTTTATTTAGACAGATAGTCTCATTTATAAGAGACACCTGTAATACGGACAGATATGACACAAAACTATCTGAACAGCTGAAGTTCTAATCAGTGGCATGTTTTAGTGCACGTTGAAGGAAATATGGGAAATAACAACTTCATGTGTTGGAAGCAGAGGAGTTCTTATGGTGTGTTGTTATGACCAAAAAATATAAAATGTGTGAAAAAATATTTAAAATATATCATCTATAGTTAGACAGGTTCCTAAAGTCTATGTTTCTACTTTTATGAGGGGTCTATTTTCATAAAAGTTCATACTGATTTTAAAAAGGCCTTGAGGATTAAAGTAACGTGCACGTACGTGTTCATTTCACAGAGGCTGAGCATGAAGCAGTTTGACGTCATATTCAAACACAGTAAAACTAAACATTAGTTTCCATGTTTGTCTGGCTGGACTGATTGTTGGGAGAGAAGTTTGATTTAGTGCACGTTGTGTCTCCATGTGATCTGACAGCCTTCTCCTTGCAGGGCTCCATCATTAGCAGTGCTGTCATGCGGCGGAGACCCCCTCCCAGCAGAGACTGCCCTTCCCGCCACAGCGGCCGGTCCCTGCCCAGCTCCTTCTCTCTGCTCGGATCTCTGCTCAGCACCAGGCGGCTGAAGTCCCCCACCCCCCACCCCTCCAAACTGCATCAAACGGCCCGGGGGGAGACAGGCACGCCAGTCCCAGTGCACCCACAGCATGCCGAGTTCTGTCACACAACCCCACCCCCTTACCACCACCCACCACCACACTCGGAGCACCTGCCCTACCAGCACAGACTCAGCCACCTCCACGGGCTACCACCACCTCCAGCTCAGGCTCTTGGCCGCATCAAACCCAAGAATAGTGGTTTCAGTACGGAGGTGTGAGGGTGGTGCAGCTCAGTCCAGGCCTGTGTCCAGAGCAATCGACAACAACACAAGAGCACGCACAAAGACCACAACTACCAGTCTGAAACAGGAAGCGTCGTTCGTGTCCCGAGCACTTCACAGAATAATAAATAACACAACGTGCGTGGAGTTCAGCTGCTCGTCCAGCCTCAGCAGCAGCTTAGTGTTTAACGCAGCTGCAGTTCATTGTGCACGCTCATATCTCTGGAATAAATGTGCCAGTTACTGAAAGCAATTCCTCATTTAGTACCCACTATTGCTTAATGTCTAATCATCGTGGCAAAGCTTTTTTAAAATGTTCAAAGGTTCAAGTGACAAGACAACAAACCTCTCACATGCTTCAACAAACTGTGCAGACTTTCAGAAATGCTGCTGGAGGCTCCAAACTATGACAACGTAATATGTGACTTTCTCTTTGGAGCGTTAGACACCAAGCCAAGTTTTTGTAAATCCTAGTGGATTTTTGCGTGCACGGCTTGTAGACTTGTGCGTTTCAAAACTGCTCCTGAAGCCGATTGGAGACACGTTTTGAACTAAAGCGACTGCAGCTCATGCCTGGAAACTGGGAGCCTCTGCAAAAGTTGGAAGAGGTTTTGTAGATTCCCTCCTTGACTCTTGCCAGCTAGTCCCTGCTTGCTGAGACAATGGCTTTAAGGAAACAAGTTAAGGCTTTTAGGTTGGTAAGCCAGAAATGCTAACCCTGTCCTTTGCGCTTCTCCCCAGCAGCCCTCGGTTTAAAAGTTGGAGTTCATTACATTTTATGAATGAAAGGCTCATGTTTCTCTGCGTCCTGAGTTTGGTGACTGGGTGGAAGTCTTACAGGACTGAGCACAAAAATCAAGAGTCATCCAAGTGTGACACTGGCTGCACCTTTGGGCTTTTCTCACCACAAAAATCATTTTATTATCAGGTTTCTGACCAACATGGTGAGGCTGACTGCACCTCCTGACCATCCTGCAGATGATCTGCCATGGGGGGGGGGGGGACAAAACAAGTGCTCTGTTTTATTTCATATAAAATTCTGGAGATTAGTCTGTTCATGAGATGGTTTTATTGTGAACCTACAATGTGTACTGTATGTTTTTTTTGTTTAAGAACAAATCTGATGCTTGTTGTTGTCAGTAGTTTTGTCTTGTTGTCCACCCCGCGTGTCTTTTGCCATTTCCTCCTCTGTTTCAGGTGAACGCAGGTGTCCACAAGAATTGAGATGAACTGAACACAGAGTATCTTTACTTTACCTTAGTTTACCTTTGTTTACCTTAGTTTACCTTTGTTTATTTTAGTTTACCTTTGTTTACCTTAGTTTACCTTTGTTTATTTTAGTTTACCTTTGTTTACCTTAGTTTACTTTTGTTTACCCTTAGTTTACCATTGTTTACCCTTTGTTTACCTTTGTTTACTGTTGTTTACCTTAGTTTACTTTAGTTTACC